GCAAAGCTGTGAATACAAAGCAACAACTCCACCTGTTAAAGTTGAATGTATTAGTATTACCACAATAATTATAGTAATGAGTTAAAAAGGAGATAGTCTGACAGAATAATAAAATCAATAGCTCTTACCTTCGCCATTATCATCTGCACTTAACATAATAAGTGCATACTTCAACAAAGAAATAATCGAAAGAGTCCAAAAGATGAGAGAAAATGCGCCAAATATTGCATCCTCATTCAGGACATGTTTCAGTCTTCCGGAAAATATACTTTGATAGACATATAGAGGGGATAAGCTCAAGTCACCAAACAAAAAGCCTAAACTTTGGTATGCCAAAAATAAAAGTTGTCTATATTGAAATTTCCGTTCTACCTGTTCGCAGAGAAAAAAAAAACATGTCATACACATATACAAGGTCTTTAAGTTCAATAGATCATATAAATGTGCAATGCTTTTTTCCCTATTTCATCTTGTTCTACACTATCATGCAACTAGTGCAATTTGCTCATTTTCCATTAGATAATAAAAGACAAAAGAGGTGCAAAAGAACACAAGTATTGAATAAAAAGCATCTAGTTATAGCGGTTTATGTTCTGAAACAGTTTCATTTTCGTTTTCTAAGCTTCGACCAACTTAGCAAATAATGACCACACTCTCCACACAACAACTTGCATTTCCTTCTCGATTTCTGATGCTGCAAAATATATTAAATGATGCAGGTGATTGCCACGATGCCTTCTAAATTCCAAAACTACACAACAAAACCCTGTCTCATTTCCAGGCTTGTGATCCACAATTACATTGACGATCGAGTTTGAAATAACGGATCTCACTTTCACTTCGCATTCTCCTTTTACAGTTAAAAATTGGACAAAACCAATGCTTATTCAAAAATTGCTACATCACACATTCATACGTTAGGATTGAATCGATACTAAGGAAATCGAATCAGAAAAGTCGGAAAGAAGAGCAGAAAGTTCCAGAAGTATTACAAAGTATATTTATAGTTTATAGATATACTTTTACGGTTAACTTAGGGTTTGAACTGAGTGAAGAAAAAGGGAAAACGTACCACGGCAGATGCACCTCGTTCTCTAATCGAATCTGAACTCATAGTAAAGGCAGAAGAAAACAGAGCAAGAGTTTTTTTGGTTTTGTGAGAGAGGGTTGTCTTGTCGTTGAAATTCTACTTTAACTGTATATTGGGTTAGGACCGCGAAATTGCCTCGCATGGAGACCATGTTTCATTATTTTATTATTTCCAAGGTAAACTCATTTTCCCATTGCAAAAAGGCGTGGTAATCGTAAAAGTGTCTGGTAATATTTCAAATCAATCAAACTTTCCACTTTCTCTTATTCTATTTCTTCCAAAATAATTTTTTTTTTAAAGAAATTTTAACGTCAATAATTATATTTTGACAATTTTTTAATATCATTTATATATATCATAATTGGTTCAAAATTATTCTACAATCAATAATAATAATTATAAATATTAACATAGATCAATCATATAATGACACATAGATAATGTTAAAATATTATTAAAAAAATATTATCAAAGTATCATTATCTTTTTTATTTAGATGTTATAATGATTTACATGGTAATAAGGAGAATTACTAACAAAACATCAAAACTTACTAAACATTAATATTTTTTCCATTTGTTTCCTAATCTTTTAATATTTTGTTCTTTTATAAAAAGTAATATGAAGCTTTAATAATTATGATTGAAAAAAAAAATTTAACGACTTTAATCTTTGTCATACAAAAATTATAAGTTATTATTGCACATGTTAATTTACGTATTGGTTTAAAAAAGACAAATATCTAATATTTTTTAACAAATAAATTCTTCAAAAATTAAGTTAGTTATGTTTATNCCCCAGTTTATCACCAGTTCAATGTACTACTGCTAGGAACGTTCAGAAACATTTGAAACAATGTAAGTGGCCAAGTCACTCATTTTTCAGTTGTCTAAAGGCAAATAACTTCAATCCACAATCTTCTAGAATTCCAAGAGAAGGCCGATTTGGGATATTCTATTCTTAGTATTTACATTAACTGACCTGGAATAGAAGCATAAAAGCTTATAGGTACTGCAGATAGATTCTTGGAAAGGAAGGCCGCCTGCCCCATGTATTGAAGAACTAGACATGGGTAAATGATACAACAAAATGTAACCTGCACAGTAACAATGATACAATAAGAGTTACAAAAGTCATTTTCAAAGAAGTTGCCATTCTGTTTTAAATGAGGAATCAATAGACTACAGATGAAGGAAAATTATGTGAATTGCATTCCCCAACAGATAAATCAACTCAAATTTTGATTTCACACATCCCACTTTAGTCAAACTTGTTAACAAATCAAGAATCACTTTCTAGATGTCATGGACCTACAGTTCAACAAAACCAGTACTCCTTCACTTGTTATGCATGTCCATCATTTTAAACAAAGGTTTGCCTTTTACGATACTAATTCATACATGCAATACACATTACATTGTATTATTCCTTCTTTGTAGTAGCTTTCTAGCTGATATATAGTTCTTCCATAGCAAAATATCATCAACTGTCTCATTGAACAGGCACAAACACCAAGTTAAAGTCTAAAAAGTATATTACACCTTATTACACATGCTATTACTGACTAAAGGAAATCATCACCACCCTTGCAAAACATTTAGTAAAGTAACATTAATCATTCTTAGGTATCTATTCGAGGGGTCAGTTATGAAGAAAACATTGCAAAATAACCATGAAGTCAAAAGCCAACATAGTACTTAATGGCCACACATACCCTTACAGGTGTTTGTCTGTAGTAACCAAGGTCTGCAAACATAGCTTCAGTCCCTGTAGATGACAAGAAATACTTAACGAATTTGGCAAGAATAAGGCTTAAGCAGAACTTTAATTTTGAAAGAGATGCAGACCTGTAACGCATAGAAATACTCCTCCAAGGTTAGTCCAACCATCTTTTCCTGTAAGCATAAAGAACTTGTATACATAATATGGAGAAAGAGCCTGATATACTCTTGGGTTCCACTTGATGATATTGTAAATGCCAATCATGAAAATAGTTACTAGCCATAGGATGATTACAGGAGGAAACACGAATGCAACCTTGTAGGAGCCCCGATGTTGCATGACAAAGAGTCCAATCAGTAGAACACAAGAAATACAAGACACCATACCTGTGAAATGATAAATACATAAGTTTAGATTGAAAATTTGCATAATATTTTTTAATGAAGGAATACGGGACCAGTGTCATATAACAAGCATGTCAATTGAGATTAGATCTTTTCCACTTACTTTTATTTGTAATCTTTGCTTCAATTTTCAAGCCTTCAACGGATGAAAGAACTACAAAAGAATTCTTATCAGCAGAGGTACAAATAGAGCTAATACAACAATAAAACATCAATCAGCTAAGGTTTCTCACCAGACACAATCACATATTTGTGAGAGAGAAAAAATTGTATCCTTACCAGAAATGGCAGGCATGAGTGCACCAACACAAATTGCCATGCAAGCACCTAGTAAAACAAAAATAAGCAAAGCCATCTTTGTATTCTTGTGTTTCTCAATGAATCTTTTCAAAGGCGAGGATGGTGTACTTCCATTTGAGGAGCCAGGCTTCCGATACGTAGAAAGCTCCTCATCGGATGCTTGATGATTAGGAAGCAAACATAATTTTGCACTTCTGCAAAGCTGTGAATACAAAGCAACAACTCCACCTGTTAAAGTTGAATGTATTAGTATTACCACAATAATTATAGTAATGAGTTAAAAAGGATATAGTCTGACAGAATAATAAAATCAATAGCTCTTACCTTCGCCATTATCATCTGCACTTAACATAATAAGTGCATACTTCAACAAAGAAATAATCGAAAGAGTCCAAAAGATGAGAGAAAATGCGCCAAATATTGCATCCTCATTCAGGACATGTTTCAGTCTTCCGGAAAATATACTTTGATAGACATATAGAGGGGATAAGCTCAAGTCACCAAACAAAAAGCCTAAACTTTGGTATGCCAAAAATAAAAGTTGTCTATATTGAAATTTCCGTTCTACCTGTTCGCAGAGAAAAAAAAACATGTCATACACATATACAAGGTCTTTAAGTTCAATAGATCATATAAATGTGCAATGCTTTTTTCCCTATTTCATCTTGTTCTACACTATCATGCAACTAGTGTAATTTGCTCATTTTCCATTAGATAATAAAAGACAAAAGAGGTGCAAAAGAACACAAGTATTGAATAAAAAGCATCTAGTTATAGCGGTTTATGTTCTGAAACAGTTTCATTTTCGTTTTCTAAGCTTCGACCAACTTAGCAAATAATGACCACACTCTCCACACAACAACTTGCATTTCCTTCTCGATTTCTGATGCTGCAAAATATATTAAATGATGCAGGTGATTGCCACGATGCCTTCTAAATTCCAAAACTACACAACAAAACCCTGTCTCATTTCCAGGCTTGTGATCCACAATTACATTGACGATCGAGTTTGAAACAACGGATCTCACTTTCACTTCGCATTCTCCTTTTACAGTTAAAAATTGGACAAAACNTAATGCAAGTTGCTTTTGTAGGGTTAAGCTAAAGTCTAAATCTACTTTGTGAGAGTTATCACTCAAATTATATTGCAAGTTGATACATTACAGTCAAATTATAGCATATAAGTAGATACAAATCTTATATTCCAAGTTGATTTTGTAGGGTTAAGCTAAAGTCTAAATCTACTTTGTGAGAGTTATCACTCAGATATTCCACGTAAATCGGCCAAGAACCAGGTCAAATGGTAGTGCTGTTATAAGTTCATATGGACAACTAATGACAGGGAACAAAAAGATAATACTTCAAATTTCACATATTACAAAGAAAGAAATTAGAACATACTTGATCATTCTAAGAACCCCAGTTTATCACCAGTTCAATGTACTACTGCTAGGAACGTTCAGAAACATTTGAAACAATGTAAGTGGCCAAGTCACTCATTTTTCAGTTGTCTAAAGGCAAATAACTTCAATCCACAATCTTCTAGAATTCCAAGAGAAGGCCGATTTGGGATATTCTATTCTTAGTATTTACATTAACTGACCTGGAATAGAAGCATAAAAGCTTATAGGTACTGCAGATAGATTCTTGGAAAGGAAGGCCGCCTGCCCCATGTATTGAAGAACTAGACATGGGTAAATGATACAACAAAATGTAACCTGCACAGTAACAATGATACAATAAGAGTTACAAAAGTCATTTTCAAAGAAGTTGCCATTCTGTTTTAAATGAGGAATCAATAGACTACAGATGAAGGAAAATTATGTGAATTGCATTCCCCAACAGATAAATCAACTCAAATTTTGATTTCACACATCCCACTTTAGTCAAACTTGTTAACAAATCAAGAATCACTTTCTAGATGTCATGGACCTACAGTTCAACAAAACCAGTACTCCTTCACTTGTTATGCATGTCCATCATTTTAAACAAAGGTTTGCCTTTTACGATACTAATTCATACATGCAATACACATTACATTGTATTATTCCTTCTTTGTAGTAGCTTTCTAGCTGATATATAGTTCTTCCATAGCAAAATATCATCAACTGTCTCATAGAACAGGCACAAACACCAAGTTAAAGTCTAAAAAGTATATTACACCTTATTACACATGCTATTACTGACTAAAGGAAATCATCACCACCCTTGCAAAACATTTAGTAAAGTAACATTAATCATTCTTAGGTATCTATTCGAGGGGTCAGTTATGAAGAAAACATTGCAAAATAACCATGAAGTCAAAAGCCAACATAGTACTTAATGGCCACACATACCCTTACAGGTGTTTGTCTGTAGTAACCAAGGTCTGCAAACATAGCTTCAGTCCCTGTAGATGACAAGAAATACATAACGAATTTGGCAAGAATAAGGCTTAAGCAGAACTTTAATTTTGAAAGAGATGCAGACCTGTAACGCATAGAAATACTCCTCCAAGGTTAGTCCAACCATCTTTTCCTGTAAGCATAAAGAACTTGTATACATAATATGGAGAAAGAGCCTGATATACTCTTGGGTTCCACTTGATGATATTGTAAATGCCAATCATGAAAATAGTTACTAGCCATAGGATGATTACAGGAGGAAACACGAATGCAACCTTGTAGGAGCCCCGATGTTGCATGACAAAGAGTCCAATCAGTAGAACACAAGAAATACAAGACACCATACCTGTGAAATGATAAATACATAAGTTTAGATTGAAAATTTGCATAATATTTTTTAATGAAGGAATACGGGACCAGTGTCATATAACAAGCATGTCAATTGAGATTAGATCTTTTCCACTTACTTTTATTTGTAATCTTTGCTTCAATTTTCAAGCCTTCAACGGATGAAAGAACTACAAAAGAATTCTTATCAGCAGAGGTACAAATAGAGCTAATACAACAATAAAACATCAATCAGCTAAGGTTTCTCACCAGACACAATCACATATTTGTGAGAGAGAAAAAATTGTATCCTTACCAGAAATGGCAGGCATGAGTGCACCAACACAAATTGCCATGCAAGCACCTAGTAAAACAAAAATAAGCAAAGCCATCTTTGTATTCTTGTGTTTCTCAATGAATCTTTTCAAAGGCGAGGATGGTGTACTTCCATTTGAGGAGCCAGGCTTCCGATACGTAGAAAGCTCCTCATCGGATGCTTGATGATTAGGAAGCAAACATAATTTTGCACTTCTGCAAAGCTGTGAATACAAAGCAACAACTCCACCTGTTAAAGTTGAATGTATTAGTATTACCACAATAATTATAGTAATGAGTTAAAAAGGAGATAGTCTGACAGAATAATAAAATCAATAGCTCTTACCTTCGCCATTATCATCTGCACTTAACATAATAAGTGCATACTTCAACAAAGAAATAATCGAAAGAGTCCAAAAGATGAGAGAAAATGCGCCAAATATTGCATCCTCATTCAGGACATGTTTCAGTCTTCCGGAAAATATACTTTGATAGACATATAGAGGGGATAAGCTCAAGTCACCAAACAAAAAGCCTAAACTTTGGTATGCCAAAAATAAAAGTTGTCTATATTGAAATTTCCGTTCTACCTGTTCGCAGAGAAAAAAAAACATGTCATACACATATACAAGGTCTTTAAGTTCAATAGATCATATAAATGTGCAATGCTTTTTTCCCTATTTCATCTTGTTCTACACTATCATGCAACTAGTGTAATTTGCTCATTTTCCATTAGATAATAAAAGACAAAAGAGGTGCAAAAGAACACAAGTATTGAATAAAAAGCATCTAGTTATAGCGGTTTATGTTCTGAAACAGTTTCATTTTCGTTTTCTAAGCTTCGACCAACTTAGCAAATAATGACCACACTCTCCACACAACAACTTGCATTTCCTTCTCGATTTCTGATGCTGCAAAATATATTAAATGATGCAGGTGATTGCCACGATGCCTTCTAAATTCCAAAACTACACAACAAAACCCTGTCTCATTTCCAGGCTTGTGATCCACAATTACATTGACGATCGAGTTTGAAACAACGGATCTCACTTTCACTTCGCATTCTCCTTTTACAGTTAAAAATTGGACAAAACCAATGCTTATTCAAAAATTGCTACATCACACATTCATACGTTAGGATTGAATCGATACTAAGGAAATCGAATCAGAAAAGTCGGAAAGAAGAGCAGAAAGTTCCAGAAGTATTACAAAGTATATTTATAGTTTATAGATATACTTTTACGGTTAACTTAGGGTTTGAACTGAGTGAAGAAAAAGGGAAAACGTACCACGGCAGATGCACCTCGTTCTCTAATCGAATCTGAACTCATAGTAAAGGCAGAAGAAAACAGAGCAAGAGTTTTTTTGGTTTTGTGAGAGAGGGTTGTCTTGTCGTTGAAATTCTACTTTAACTGTATATTGGGTTAGGACCGCGAAATTGCCTCGCATGGAGACCATGTTTCATTATTTTATTATTTCCAAGGTAAACTCATTTTCCCATTGCAAAAAGGCGTGGTAATCGTAAAAGTGTCTGGTAATATTTCAAATCAATCAAACTTTCCACTTTCTCTTATTCTATTTCTTCCAAAATAATTTTTTTTTTAAAGAAATTTTAACGTCAATAATTATATTTTGACAATTTTTTAATATCATTTATATATATCATAATTGGTCCAAAATTATTCTACAATCAATAATAATAATTATAAATATTAACATAGATCAATCATATAATGACACATAGATAATGTTAAAATATTATTAAAAAAATATTATCAAAGTATCATTATCTTTTTTATTTAGATGTTATAATGATTTACATGGTAATAAGGAGAATTACTAACAAAACATCAAAACTTACTAAACATTAATATTTTTTCCATTTGTTTCCTAATCTTTTAATATTTTGTTCTTTTATAAAAAGTAATATGAAGCTTTAATAATTATGATTGAAAAAAAAAATTTAACGACTTTAATCTTTGTCATACAAAAATTATAAGTTATTATTGCACATGTTAATTTACGTATTGGTTTAAAAAAGACAAATATCTAATATTTTTTAACAAATAAATTCTTCAAAAATTAAGTTAGTTATGTTTATTTTTAATTTGACACTGTCTATTATGTTTCAATTTTATATTCATTTATCAATCTCATATTGTCCTAAATATATATAATATAAAAAAAAACTAAAAGCAATGTGGTATCATAAATATATATTGTTCATTAATATGGTAGACTTCCACTTAATTGAAAATGATAAATGATGATGCAAGTTAAATATAATCTTAAGGGTAACAATGAGTTTTAGTTGTCCACCAAAATAGCTAATCACATATAATTGTAGACTTACGAGGCTACCTATACATCTAAAAATATGAAAAAAAGTTAGCATGGAGCCTCCTAATGGTCATACTTTAATCTTGTTCAAAGACCGAAGAAGTTATTCATCACATCAGCCAAGAAGTTGAGTGTTTTAGACACAGATCGAATAAGGTTATAGCTTGGTTTGTTTTTATTTTTCATTAAAAAGTCACGACAACCAAACATACAAATCAAATGTGGTTTGCTTTAGTTCTATGTTAATTTATATATATATATATATATAACTCCATAACGTTATTTTTAACTTCATTTTTTCTCAATCTTTTTGTCACTTTTATTCCACCTTGAATTTGATTTTTATTAACTCTTGCATTAATTTTGTAAATTTTGAGCATACGAGGAGGAAGGCTAATTTTCAAAGTCGTATTGAAATCAAAATAAGCAAGTTGTTTCTAAAAATTTATAATATATAGCAATACTTACTTAGGATCATAAAAAGCACATTTATTATATTTTTTGTCACTATTCTTCCCATAAAAATGAAATTGGTGAGATTTTAGTAATGAAAGAAAATTAAAACTACAACAAAAAGAAAATACATTTAAGGAAAATAAAAAGATAAATTTATAGAATTAAGATTTATACAATCTTTGTCATAGTTGTTTAAATATTTATATATTTAAGCTTCCAATGCTTAATAAATTTAATTAATCAAGTCAATTGCTCAAACTATATTAACAAGAAAAGTACAAACTATATTAACAAGAAAAGTACGAACCAAATCAAAATACTATTGAAAATAATTTTTATGTAATTATCAAATTAAGATTCAATCAATCTTTAATTTGATTTGAAAATTATAAACGCAAATTAATTAATGTCATAAAATGTAAATTCAAAATTAGGGAAAACAAAGAATCATTTCTAAAACTGAAAAAACTAAACAAACTATAAATTATTCTAGTTTGTTTGGTTAGAGGTGCCTCTAATAAAATGTCAACATAAATCTAAATATGAACTCTATAATAAGATCCATAAGCTTAAAAAATAAATTATGAAAAATCAAATTTGTACAACTTTCTATATTAATTTCAATAAATTTGTCTCAATTTTCAAAAATTGTAAAAAATAATACAAGACTTTAAATCCTGTAAAACATATATTCCTTTTTTAAGTCACGAAAATGATTTAATCTAACTAAAGACAACCAAAAATAATATACACAGTATAACTAATACAATAAGCAAAAATCAAATTGAATAAAAATATATAGAGGGAATCTAATTTATTTCAATTAAAGGAAAATATTTAAAAAAATGAAAATAAAACACATAATAATTTTTTTTTCAATATATAATTAAAATAGGTATAAATGTGTGTATAAAATAGTGTAACGTTGTAAATTTTAAGAATATGTAGAGGAAGATCTTATCATCATCCATCACAAAAATGTGAAGGCAATTTAAGTTCACATCAACAACTAAATGAGTCTTTTTTTATTTAAACGTTATTAGAGTACTAGTTAGAGTTTATTTTTCAAGTACAAAATTACAATTATTAGATAGTTTTAGGTGTTAATATATATCATGATTCTAATAAGTACTCCTGTAACGATCAAATTTTTACAAATAAATGCAAGAAAAATCAATAGAAATGATCTTCCATGAAAAATGTTGATGTTTTACATTATTTAATTAGTTGTGATAAGTAGGAAAAATGACGACGTCGACCTTAAGCCGTGGAGGCAGAACTCCCACGTCGTATCGTATCCCTCCAACACATCATCAAGAAAGGGAAAATGTTACACAAAATGACACAAAAACAAGAAACCATGAAAAGACATTCTCCACTAGGTTGTTCCAATCAGCTTAATCACCAACATTCGAACAAGTTGATATCCGCACGAAGCCTGAAATAAACTTCCCCTTCAAATGCATCCGTAGAGAGAGTGGCCACACCCCTAGTCATGAAGAAATCACCAGTTCCTCCGATCACCGAAATGTCTCTCGTCTTATTCATCAAAGGGTCTGCACCTGCGAAGTTGATGCTACCCTTATGCTGCGTGGAGTTGAACACAAAGGAGAAGCCAAGCCAAGCCGTGAAAATCTCCTTCTTATCGTAAATGTAGAACCCTTGGGCACGTCCTACGGGTGCTGAGTGCAGATTGTTGTCCAAGGTGATAGGGTCATCGAACACAACCACGTCGCCAAAATGGTTCTGCCCTGCAAGTATGGTCCTGTTTCCCCATGCGGGTGTTCCCACAATGGCTGAAGTTGCATTCTTGGAGTTATGACCATTGTAAATTATGTCGTGGAAATAGAACACCAACTTCTTGCACGGCTCGCGAACCCTTTTTCTTCTCCAATGGTTCGGAGAACCCGAGGATCCCACCGTCATCATTACCAAGAACAAGAGAGAAAAAACGAACCTCGTTATTTCCATTGTTATCGAGGCCTCGATTATGGAAATATTGGCTCACCAGCTTGAAATTTATAAGCACCGCTTACACTTTACCCATAAAGCAAAGTTACGTTTAATTAAATATATGTGTTAAGACTTTCAAGTTTAACTTTGGACAACCTAGTTATTTGAAGCAATGCTGTAGAAGGTTAGCAACTTCTTATTATTATAATGCCTTTTATGTTTAGGTGAAACTTTTAAGCTGATTGAATAACTCTGTTTATACTATTTTGGTGTGAGATTTCTCTGAAGACTGATCTTCATGACCTATTTTTTGTCTATCTAGCTTAGGGTTGGCTTTGAAGGAATCGTTATTACGAGGCAAGAAGAAAATAACACTGAATATAAGTGCTTAGTTTTTGGTTGCTTTGTGCCTACGGCATGCGATATCATTAGATGCACAAAAAGGGGTCAAGAGTGACTAATAAAAGTACTAAACGTGTTTTTGGTGCAACAAGAACTGGACCAGCTTCTGGTTGGTGCCGCGTCTAGCCACCAAGCAAACATCTCATCTCCAACTCCAAAACTCAGATTAATTTTTTAGTTTTAATAAATGAAATGGGTTGTTCTACTGTCTTGTGAATTATCAAATGTTTAAGGATTTGTGGTGCCAGGCATTCTAAGTCTTGGAAAATAAAGCTTTCTTTTACATCCAAGACACAAGAATTTATCTTGACGTTGGAGTTTAAATATAACTATGAAGTGTGACATTATGTAAGTTAATAAACGTATAAAGTATTATGCAAGTTTAATTTGCTGATTAAAATATACCAACTAATATTTAATGCTCTAAAAGTTCAAATTAGAAAGAAGAGATTAAGTGGATGTTAGGACTTTCTAAGTCGGAGTGGTTACTCCTACTTCCTGTATATATAATTATAAATTTTAAGTGGACATAGATCGGTGTTAGAATCATTACATGTGGAGTTGTTGTGCCATATTTGCTCCATCACAGTGATAGGCTATTATTAAAAGATTGAAGATAAATTATTTTCTGCTCACTCCACCAATACAAAGAAGACTTTTTAAATATATTACTTTAAGTTTTTTACGTTTGTTATCACTAAGACATAACTATGGAAAATGTAAATATACGTCTATTAAAATCTGACATAAATTTTTAAATTTATGTTTGTTTGCCTAATAGCACACGGAAATTTATGTACGTTAAAAATGTAATAAACATAAATTTATGTTCATTGTTAGGTTAATATACATAAATTTTACTTTTTTTTCTCAAGTCACTGGTGCAAAATATATTTTTTATAGTGATTTTTTATATATTTTAAAATTCATTAAATATAAAAGGTGATACGGTGATAATATTGTAAATAAAATAAATTTTTTATACCTATTTTATAAAAAATAAGTTTAAAAAATAAGAAATAAAATTTTTATACCATTTATACTCAAAATAAGTATAAAAAAAAACTTTTATGCCGATTAAACTTATAATAGGTATAAAAGTAAAGGTACGAATATAATGCTGAAAAACTTTTTCTACACCGGTTAGACAATATAACCGGTGTAAAAAATTTCATATTCTACCTAAATCATTTTCTCTTCTGCATCTTTCTCTCTAGGATCCCTTTCTCTCTACTGTAGCAAGTGTGGCGATGCTCATTATTTGAGATGCATCAAGTTGTGTTCGTGTTTGCTGCTCGAGTGGGTTGTGGTGGCTCTCACAGTGGAAATGGAAGTAGTTCTAGGAAGGTGTAGCAGACGCCGTGAAGAGGTTTACATAGTCGATCTCCTTCGACAAGCAGCTCTACAAGCAAGACATAAAAAGGAAGCATAGTGCATGCGTCGATGCTACCTCACTAGGTCAGTCACGAAATCTTTCACTCTTCTAATTCAACGTTCAGCGAAACACTCACTGTTCTTTGTTTAGGGTTTGATAAGCGCGAGCGACAAAGACTCTATTATCGAAGGTTTTGGAGGAAATAGAGAGGCGCATTAAGAATGGAGAGTTCAATTGGAGAGCTGACAGAGAGGACTTGCACATGAACATCGGTGAGCCTGCGAAGAAGCTCCACACCGCTCGGAGTAGGAACGATGAGGTTTTTACTGACTTTCGCCTTTGGTGCCACGATGCCATCGACGGGATCTTCGTGAGCATGAAGCAGCTTCAGGATATGTAATTGAAGGTTTCTTTGTAAGTAATTGAAATACTGCAATTAAATAAACATGAGTGTAATAGTAACTTCTGTTATTCATAAGCAGATATGATGACCTTTTGCAGTAGTTTTAAACATTTTTTAGTTGACATTTTTCTAGCATCTGTAGCACTTGGCACTTCGAAAACCACAACACTATGAAATTGCAATTTCAAGCATGTCATTGACGTTGTGTTCGGATGAAAGAAATTTCCTGTTTACACGAATTAGGGAAGATGGATTTACGAAAAGATCGTGTTCGCTTGTGCTGATATGCAACGATAGAAAAGCAATGGTTTGCACAAATTTCACTCTTCAGACCATCTCTCCATTTCGAAAGGATTTGCACTGATTTATGAGTAAATGTGCAGTCCTGCATAATATAAAAAAGATAATATTAACGTTTGAAAGTGTATTAGATTCTTAAGTGCAGTGTTGGATTCCACTGAAGCGCTTTTTGTGTCAAATATAAGGCATAACTACTTATTTTAAAATTATATTAAGAAAAAATGACTTTATTTAATTAAATAAACTATATTATTTTAAAGTATAGGTTTTCTATTTAAACTTTTATCATAAAAATAAAAGTATATTTTAATTTTTTAATCTTAAAATTATAGTAAGCTAAAATATGGTATTGTTTAAATAATTATTAATTTTTTTACATTTTAAAAATTAATTTTATTAATTATTTTTAATTTTTTACTTTTTATAAAAAAAATTTACAATTAAATATAACATTAACAAATATCATTTAATATTACTTTAATAACTAGGGACATTTTGTTAATCTTTAATTTTTCTATCAATTAAACAAATTTTTTAAATTTGTCCTATCAATCAAATCCTACACTAATTCTCACAAACTTTACTCTCAAATCTACTCTTAATTACCCACAAATCCACTCAAAAAAAAACAACAAAAATATTATCCTCAAATCTATTCAAATACATTCAAATCATCTCTTCCAAATCACCTCAAAACAACAAAGCCTGAATGAAATATAATAGGTGTAGCTTCAATGTAGTTATTGACACGAAGCATGTTAATTACTTTTGAATGCTAGTTCTCTTTTTTATGGTTAAGCTGATCTTCCCATGGGTCAAAATTTTAGGATGAGGTTAAATAAACCAAAAGTTATTATTTAAACTAGAATGATGAAATTGATGTGTGTATACATTTTTGACAGCTAATTGTACCTCCTGTATTAAATTCCTTTGTCGATCAAGATAGCAGAGTTCGTTATTATGCTTGTGAAGCATTATACAACATAGCAAAGGTGGGGATCAATTTTGTTTACCTATATAAACCGTCAATACTCTAATGTACAATTCTCCAATGTCATCACGTTTTGATGCTAGATTGTGAGAGGAGATTTTATTATATTCTTCAACCAGATCTTTGATGCCTTATGCAAGCTTTCTGCAGACTCAGATGCCAATGTACAAAGTGTTGCACATCTCTTAGATCGACTTGTGAAGGTATAATAAACTTCTACTGAACTTGAACAATCCTTTGGCAGATTTACTCGAGTGCACATATAATATGTTTTCTGAATATGTATTATTGATCTAATAATGATTTGAATTACTGTTCCTTTTGATCAACTAATGATTAAATGCTACTTTATTCAAACAGGATATTGTGACTGAAAGTGATCAGTTCAAATGCACATCTTACTTCTGTGCTGTATGTTTTTCTTCACGACTGTATCCTGTTGTGTTTTACTTCAGTTCAGGATATTGCAATGTTTTAGCTTTTTTAACAAGTTTTTATTGTAATCAAACTTTTGTTTAGTGTTGGCATCTTGTCAAAGTTATTATGAATTGTTGTTCATTATTATTTTCCTTAAACTGTGCTTTCTTGTTTTAACAGATAAATGAGTTTGTTAAACTTGGTGGAGATCAGCTTATTCCATATTATGCTGACATTCTTGGAGCCATTTTGCCGTGCACATCTGATAAAGAAGAGAAGATTAGAGTGGTAGGCTTACTGGAGTTTTCACTCTTTCCCTATCTTTACCATTTTTTTGGTAATTTACCTTTTTTATTCTCTATTTTGTATGATGTTTAATTTTGGTGTTGCCTGCATTGGAAAGCAAGGATTTAGAACTCTTTTGTGGCTTATGAATAAGGTTGCTCGTGAAACCAATGAAAAGTTACGTGCAATCAAGGCTGATCCAGCTGACGCATTTGATGTAGGAGTAATCTGTCCATTGCTAGGAGGTGTAGTTTTTTCTTAAAATTGTTGCTTTTCAATTATGATTGAGGACCTGTTTAGTTTAGCCGACTCTATTTTGTTCTGTTTATTTCGGAGAATGATTTTGCAAATGATTTAACTGGTTTAGGAAACTATCTAGTGAATGGGAGGCTACTCGAATTGAAGCCTTTAAATAATGTGTGACTTGAATTCCTTAATCTTTTTAACCATTTTTTTATGATTATTTTCTTAAAATTTGTAGCCATTTAAGTCACTGTTTAAAAAGTTCAGTAAATTCTTTTTCTTTCTGTGATTAATTTTCTATCGTCAAATTATCATAAATTGAAAATTTTCAAATTCAAAGTTCACAGTTCTTTTTTTTTTTTTTTTCAGATTGACATCCATATACTATATCAAGGAACAATATTGACATTCATATACTACATCAGAAAAGAAATTCCATTAGCATTTAGGTCTGATACAACTTTAGTGATGTTAGGTATCAATTTGTTTATATAGAAGTTCTATCTTGTTGAGGGATATTTTCTTTCTCAAACACTTGATTTTGTTGTAAAACACTTGATTTCTGAAATATTTTATGTGTAACTATGTTAAGTCACCATGTTAGGTAAATATATTTATGAACTTTGTTCGGTAAAATATTACATTTTGATGTGTTAATAGAAACAATATTGATTATTTGGTTTGTTATTGATTATTTAGACTGTATTATGTATGAGATTGAATTTTATGCAGGTCTGTATATGGATAATAGCACATACAAATCAAATATTAAAAAAAATGTCACTTTTTACACCAATTATAACATTACAAGGTATAAAAATGAGACTCTTTTATACCTGTTCTATAACCAGTAGGTATAAAAAGTGAATTTTTTTTCCTATTACCAAATGAGCCTTTTTATACCTGCTCTTAGAATATCAAGTGTAAATATTAGACTTTTATACATGTTACAAGCAGAATCAGTGTAAAAGTTTATTTTTTTTATGCCGGTTCTAGAACCAATGTAAAAATCAAAAACTTTCTATATGTAAAAGTTTATTTTTTTGCACTAGTGAGTATGCACCAAATTTAAAGAGAAATTCATCCTCTTTCATGTATGAAAAAATCAGACACAAATACATTAAACATGGGAAAACTACCTTAAATTTAAGGACATGTTAATTCATTTATCTATATTCAAAATTTATATTTTGGTGGATAAAAATGATTCAAAGAAGCATATACATTACCTCCACTTCTAAGATAATATCACAGGAAGATTAATACTACTGGCTGTTGATAAAATAAACTATATTATAGATGTTTATGAAAAAAAATGCTATATTATGTGTAGATGTGATTGAAAGCTCAACTTCATCTAATGATCTTGAATGGACGAAAGAACCATTAAAATGACACACAAGATAATGACATCATAATCTGTACAAATAGTACAAAGCTTTAACAAATGTGGATAAAAGTAATAGTGGTGAAAGATCCTTAGTAGGCTTACTGTCATGGAGTTCATTAATCTTAATTTGAACTCCTAAAATTGTTGAAAAAACTAAAAGCATATCACATATTCAAAGGAGAAACTCAATGCAAAAAAAATATTTAGAGAGAAAGATGCCTCCTGATGTACCACACATGAAAATGCTAAAAAACACTTTTTGATTACCAATGAAAATCCTAAACGCACCAACTTCTCAATGTTATCAAGGATGAATTTCTCTTAGGGGAAAAAGTGAAGAGAAATGCAATGCAAAAGGTTTTTTCAAAAATACATTTATGTCATAATAATGTCTGACGTTTATATGTCAAAGTAAATTTATGTCTGACGTGACCAAAACAAATGTCAATTTACATCTGGCCTATAAACGTTAGACATAAAAACTTCTTTTTTGCATATCACGCTTACGCTTACAAGTTAGACATAAATATCAACCATTTAATTATAAAAATGTTATTCCACATTTTTCACGTTTATTGCCTACATGTAAGACGTAACGTAAATTGAATGACGTGGAAGTTGTTTTTGTATTAATGTCACAAGTGTTTGAGTTTCCTATAAGTATGAAAATTGATGTTATATTTATTTATTATTGTTCTTAACGATCCAAGTAGTACTGAGTAGACAACTTCCTCAGCTCTTTTATTCCTTGCATTTTTCTTGGCTTGTAGACGTCTTAGTATTTGATATCAAGAAGTAGACATATGCAAAAGATACTTCAACACCCAAGTTAGCATTTACTAGGATGAAAAAATGGCTAGCATGACCCATTTTCGCTAGTTGTAGGCATACTACTACTGAATGTGGTTCTGACTCACACCCCAACAGTTGGATGTATTTATTGATATTCTGAAGAATGTTTTGTTCAGACTTGAGGTTACATGTTTTAGCTCTCATTTTTCTTAGTTTTTCTTTAGTACTTTTTTCTAATTGTTTGACATATTCTATATCTACAAAACTCACTCACATCTCCAATGTACTTTTCCTCTTTTCAAAATATTGATTACAGTTTTTTTTCTTTGTGTATTTGTGTTCAAACAGTGTATTATCAATTTTGGTGATTCAAATAACTTTTAAGTTCACATTCATTTTTAGTATTTTTATTTATTATTTTACATAAGAATGTTTTACTATCTCAATTTGTATTTCATAGTATAAATCCTTTATTTACTAGGTAATGTAAAAAACATATCTTCTTTATTCTCTTTTTTTCTCAATTTTTGTTTTATTTGAAAAACTTTTTGTTTTACTCATACAACATTCATCGTCTTTTCATAGTTCGACTAATTTAATATCTAAAAAGTTTTCTCATATCTTTAAGATATTTTCTATCTTATCATACTCTTAATTATATTTTTTCTGTGTAATTTCATTAATTGATGTATCAAAAATCATTTTCAGGGCATACATTCAATATTTTTTACTTCTTAATATTTTTTCTTATTTTTTTATTATGTAGAATATTACTTTCTTTAGTGTGTTTTGAAAAATAAAATTCGAAATAATGAAATGCAAGGATAAATTTAATAGGATACAGAAAGAAACTGCCTAAGAGCCGAACAGCTAAAAGATGTTGTGTCAAGCTATGCGGATTGGGCTGGCCCAACTGGTTGGCTCGGTAACAAGGGGACATTGCACTGTGTGATTTTTGGGTGTTGCTCCCTTCACCCCCACACATCTCTTCCTCCACCTCCCCTTTACTATTTTGCCCCTTTCTCCACCTTTCCTTTACTATTTTGCCCCTCAGTAAAATTTTATTTTTAAAATTATTGTTTTTTAATTTTATTCATTTATAACATATTTCACTGATAACCTACGTAGTTCCTTATATGAGTAAAATATTTTTCTGCAAAGCTTAGTGATCGTGAAAAGAATTATCAAGCAATCTTCCTCTTGTTCTCGGTGCAGTGCGTTTGTGGTGTAGTGTCCTTGTCGTGATTCCTCTCCAGGAACGTAGTCATAATCCTTCCAATAATCCTAAACCTAAACCCTTCCCATACTTCCAATAATCCTTTTAACATCCAAGCCTATAATCCTTGCATGAGCCGCAAAACGTAGTAAAATAAAAACCAAACGTAAAAGGAACACTGCCTCTGGACAGATGACATCCTTCAACGGATGTCAACATCCGTTTAAGGCGAAACGGATGTCAACATCCGTTTAAGGCGAAACGGATGTCGACATCCGTTTTGAGGATATACACTCATAGAGAACAACATTCCCTATGTTGGTCATGGAATCACTCTTCCTAATTATATCACCGAGCACGGTGTACATGTGTCCACTAGCCTGCTTGTCACCACTTCCCAACAATGCGAGAATTTTCAGCATCTTAATCTAAGCACTCAAACACAACGAGTAGCCAATTTAAGCAACAGGATTGAGTAAGTAACATGCAAAATCAAAAATAGTCTTAAATGGATAAGCTTCTCTATTAACCTGTCTTCCTAGTTTAGTTTAATCTAAAGTTAAAATTAATCATTTTAGTTTCTTATTTTCTCTCCCCGAGGGAGGAATTTATCCAAATATTAAATAGAATTTAACCTGAATGAAGGGTGCAGTCATTTGGTGATAATCATAAGTCTTGGGCATAATTGTCATTTTAGAAGGATATAATTGGCATTTTAGAAAATTGGGGAGGTGGAGGAAGAGACGTGTGGGGTAGAGGGAGCAACACCCGTGATTTTTCATAGCGGAAACCGCTTGTCAAGCGCTTGTAGAAGTTCAGTAGTTATATTTTAGAACTTGTTTATTCAATGATGCAGTTTCCATGTTCCATGTCTTATTCTTCATATTGGTTCTTACCTATTTTAGAACTTAATTACGTCTCTTAATTCTTGAATAAAATATTAATCTTAGTAAGAAAATCAAAATAAGCAACTTCTTAGTGAAATCAGCACTTACGAATGAAAAGAAAAAAATTATTAATTTGACATAGAAGCACATACATAACACACACCGCAATGGAAATAAATTCTACCTACAACTAAAAGAGAAAAAACAAAAAAATTAGGTCATATATATACTTTTTTAAAAGTCATTACAAAATCTTGAGCACGAATTTTAGTTTTTTTAGCCCTGTTTCAAGAGAAGTTGAACTTCATGCTTTTAAAGTGAAACAACGAGTGAAATAGTTTACCCTACCAAATACAGCATATGACTTTCCTTCAAAACTATTTGTTGTATTAAGTGGTAGCACATAAAATAGTCAACTCAAGTGTTTCCCCACATTACGTAAGAACACTTCAGACATACTGGTTTTATTCCACCAAGAATATCTCCAGCACTAGTCAATATAAAATCGGCGACTAATAGTACTCAATTTAATTAGGTCGAATTATTCGAAATAATTCTTTCACATAAATACTATTTTTTTTATAATGTATTTTATCATTAACCTTACTTATTTGATGGTCTAAAAATTCCGAATTGAAATCCAAACTGGTACATTGATAGAATAAAATAAAATCTCTGCGGAGAGAAAGGTACACATGCAATAACATTTGATGAAGTCGAACATAAAAGGAAACCTTTACGGGACTTTTAATATGACCAACAGTCGTAGAACTTGATATCAACACGAAGTCGGAAATAAACTTCGCCCTCAAATGCATCGGTCATAATGGTGGCGATTCCTCTGTGCATAAAGAAATCGCCGGTGCCACCAGTGACAGAGATATCTCTAGTCTTCTGCATGATGGGGTCAGCTCCGGCGAAAGTGATGGTTCCCTGATGGTCGGTGGTGTTAAGAACAAACGTAAATCCAAGCCAGGAAGTGTAAGTGTTTTTGGTGTCGTAGATGTAAAAGCCTTGAGCCCTTCCCACGGGTTTTGAGTGAAGGTTGTTGTCCAACGTGATGGGGTCATCGAAAACGGCTATGTTTCCAAAGTGGAACTGGGCGGCCAGTTTGGTCAAGTTACCACCTTCTGGAGCGGCCACTATTGCAGACGTTGCATTGGCTGCATTGTTTCCATTGTATATGATGTCGTGGAAGAAGAGGACCAAGCTTTTGCATGGTGTGTATGGCTTCCTCTTGGCTGAACACGAAGCAATAAGGAGCGTAAGGAAAATGACGAGGGAAACTTTCGCACTCATTAAGATGAGGGAGAGAAAAAACACAAGACTATTCTATAGCCAACAATACTCTTTGGGGACTTTGTGTGTGTGAGGTTCTTACACAGTTCTACTGTCCTTTTATAATCATTTTGCAATTTTATCATTATATAATGATTTTTAAGTCAGTTTTTGAATATTTCATTTATTTACAAATATGTATTGATATTAAACTTTTATTAATGTGACTCTTACTTCTTTGGTATCCATTGAACATGCTAAGGTGAAAACAACTTTTCATACGTACTTTGGAAAAGCACTTGGATCTTAAATTGTTCTTCTAATTTTAATTCTAATGATTATGAGACTGGTCTTTTATATATATTGACAAAAAAAAACTAAATATAGTCACTTTACGATTTAATAACTCTTACTATTGTGAGTAAGGTTTACTTACCATTACGAATTAATTAAGCTGCACGTATCTAAAAACTCTGTTTAGTTGCATCGACCAATTATTTATGCTACAAAAATTATTTTATTTATGTATTTATTATAGGTTAATAAAATAATATTTCAAGCTCAAATAGAAGAAAAATCAGTACCCTTATTTTCCTTTTATTCTGGTTCTGTTAGCTACACATTTATTGCATTCAATAGTGTATTATTATACAATAACCATGCTTAAAAGAAATAGATAATAAAAGAAGTAGGCTTATTCCACATCTTTATTTCACAATTCCCATTTGCATTCATCTGTAACTTCCGATGCTGATGGCTGAAAAGGACTACAGAAAGTTGCATCTGTGAATTCCACGAAGGACATTGAATTTTATATCTAAATATTCGTTTTTAGAAAGTGTTTTCGAAAAGTTAATATTCTAATAAATATTTCATTATTTATGTTTCTTAATAAAACATTCTTTTTAAATGAGAAAGAAATATAATATTCTTGAAAAAGTAATGAATTTTAACCACGTATATATATATATATATATATATAT